ATGTTGAGTGACTTACACTGTTGGAGTTTGGTTTTCTTTGATCTGATCATGTCTGTGTCGTGGTACTTTCCTCTTGACGTAAGGAAGTATTTAACTTATTTTTTATTTTACAGGAGCCCATAGTTGATGGACTGTATTTTAAAAGAGACTTTGGACTTTTAAAGAGGCTGAATTTTGAAGTGTTTTAATTTGTAAAGATTGTGGGGCATAAGTTTGTAAAATACTGTGATGTTGATATTAATGTGTGATGTTGGGTGAACAAGAAAGGAAAGGTGGTTTACCAGATATGTGTTTATGTGTCAGGTTGACAAGGGGTCGGTTGTGCCGATAGTTTATGTCAGCTTGACACAGGCTAAAGTCATCTGAGAGGAAAGAACCTTAATAACAAACTGCCTCCATTAGCTCAAGCTGTAGGCAGGCCTGTAGGGCATTTTCTTAATTAGTGATTGACAGGGGAGAGTCCAGCCCATTGTGGGTGGTTCCAACTGTGGGCTGGTGGTCCTGGGTTCTGTAAGAAAGCAGATTGAGAACTCCATGGGAGCAAGCCCGGAAGTAGCATCCCTCCATAGCTTCTGTCTCATCTCCTGCCTCCAGCTTCCCGCCCTCACTTCACTGATGGTGACTAGTGACATGGAAGTTAAGTCAAATAAACCCTTTCCTCCCCATTGCTTTTGATCTTGGTGTTTCATTGCAGCAATAGTATCCCTAAGTAAGATATGGTCTTTCGCTTGTTTATTTTGATGTTTGTTTTTGTGTTTCTTTGTTTTTGAAATCGAAAAAGCATAAAGAATGTAAGGTTGGGTGGGTAGGGAGATCGGAAGAATTTGGGGGAAATTGGAGAGGAAAGCATGATCAAAATATATTGTATGAAAATTGTTTTTTTTTTTTTTGGTTGTTGTTGTTGTTGTTTTGGTTTGTTTGTTTGAGACAGGGTTTCTCTATGTGGCCCTGGCTATCCTGCAGCTCGCTCTGTAGACCAGGCTGGACTTGAACTCAGACATCTGCCTGCCTCTGTCTCCGGAGTACTGGTATTAAAGGTTTTTGCCAACTCCCTCAACTCTCCCCAACCCCTGGCTGAAAAAAGGTGTTTTTAATATAATCTGACAGTTTTTGTCTTTAATTGGAATAATTGAATCATTTACATTTATTGTGGCTATTGATAGAGCTAAGTTTGTCATTTGCTATTTGTTGTGTCTTTATATGGCCCATGTGTTCCTGTGTGTGTGTGTGTGTGTGTGTGTGTGTGTGTGTGTGTGTGTGTGTGACAGGATCTTACCGTATAGCCCTGGTTGGCCCTGAACTAAGTGTATAGTCTAGGCTGTCTTCAGACTCACAGAGATCTGCCTGCCTCTGCCTTTAGAGTCACCCAGGTGATTATTATTTCTAGTATTCTGTACTCCTTCATGGAGAGCTCATTTTTCCTTTTTTAGTAATTTATTTTTTTGTTAATTACAGTTTATTCACGTTGTATTCCAGCTGTAGCCCCCTCACTTGTACCCTCCCTCTCTTTTTTTCCTCCCATGCTCCTCCCCCAGTCTACTGATAGGGGAGATCCTCCTCCCCTTCCATCTGCCCCTAGCCTATCAGGTCTCATCAGGACTGCCTTCATTGTCTTCCTCTGTAGCCTGGTAAAGCTGCTCCCCACTCAGGGGCTGGTGATCAGAGAGCCAGCCACTGAGTTCATGTCAGAGACAGTCCCTGTTCCCCTTACTAGGGAACCCACTTGGAGATTGAGCTACCATGGGCTACATCTGTGCAGGGGTTCTAGGTTAGGAGATCTCATTTTTCATCTGATCTCATTTTTCTGCCTGAAGGACAACTTTTAACTTTTTTCCCTCTGGTATAGTTTCCTAATGATGAATTCCTTCTGAAAACATCTTTGTTTCCTTTGAAAATGGTGCATTTTAATACAGTGCCTTCATTGGCATTTCAGTCTCATTTATCCAGTAAGAAAGAAGTAATATATGTGTTAAGTGTCAAGCACTATCTGAGGCATTAGGATATATAGGATATACAGCAGTAATCCATCCCAGTCTTTTTGGAGATTAAAAATCTGCTCTGGCTAGACAACTAGCAATAAGTAACAACAAAATAGAGACTAGAGGCAGTAAGAGCTATGGAGAAAACCAAAGCCGAGGGAGGGATGAGTGGGCTGATGGGTGTCTCAGATGAAGGGTAACCTTGAAGCACCGGTCTAGAGAAGAGAGTAGTGCAGGAATCTAGGAGAGATCCCAGCTAACAACACTGTAAAAGCATGGAGGATTATAAGCCCAAACAGGCCGGGAGGGTACAGGAAGCAACAGGGAGCCAGGGGCAGAGAGCAGGCGGAAGGATAGAGAGCCTGTGAAAGGCTCTGAGCTAGGAATGTCAAGATTTGACTTAAGTATTTACAGGATCACTTTCGCTATTTATTGGATGGAAATAAACTGTATTGGAGAAGGAAGCAAGAACAGAAATGAAGCCAATCAGGAGGTTTTTATAGTGGCCTAGCTGGCAATGATAAGGATAAATAGATACAACCAGACCTGAGAAGAATTGTCTGGTTCTGTGTATTTTGACATGAAGGATTTGCTGATGGATTGGATTTGGATATTGCAAAAGGAGAGGCGGATGATTCTGTAGTTTTCCCATAAAGAACTGGGTACTTTATTTTATGAGGCAGGAAAACTGTGGCACTCAGTGAATCAATGTAGGAGAAGGTAAGGAGCTCAAGTTTTGGGCTGTTAAATTTGAGATGTCTGTGACCCTTTTATATAGAGATGCTGCCTGGGCAACGAGTTGGAGAGCAGGGAGAAGTGTAAACAGACTCTTCTAGAAGTTCATAGCCATCACTTGGAAGTGTAACTTAGAAGGAAATGGCATCTTCAAAATGAACATTCCAAAACTAACAAGAATATTCATAACTGAACTTTGCACAAAAACTATACTTGGGGTGAAAGTCCCTAACAGAAATGAAAAAACGTTATGGCATAGGTGCAGTGATATTCTGCAATAGTGACAATGTGTGTGTATGTCTACTCACACCCGTGTCACTGGGTGCACACGCAGCAACATTGCTGAAGCCGGACATAAAAATTACGTAAATTAAAAACAATTTACGTAAATCAGGGCTCAAGAGATGGCTTAGAGTTTAAGAGCACTTACTGCTCTAACAGGGGACCCAAGTCCACATCTGCCTGTAACTCCAGCTCCAGGGGACTGGCCACTGCCTTCTAGCCTCTTTGAGTACTAAACAGATGTGTGCATTCTCATACACATAATTTATTACTATGCTATTGGAACCAAGTGTGGTGGCGCATGTCTTTAATCCCAGAACTCAAGAGACAGAGGCAGGCAGCTGTCTCAGTTCAAGGCCAGCCTGGTCTACAAAGCTAGGATAGCCAGGGCTATATAGTGAAACCCTGTCTCAAAAACAAAAACAAAAACAAAAACAAAAAAAAAAAAAAAAGAAAAAGAAAAAGAAACACTGCTGTTGGAGGTCAGAACAGAGATTGTCTTAGGAGGACATAAACTGTGCGTTTATGTTTTGGTTACTTTGCTAGAGAGCTGGCCCATTGGTTGTGTCCTCCTCCACCTCCGCCACCCACTTGGGGCAGGGGGAACCAGATCACTTTCCCCAAGGATCGTAGTTTGATTCCCAGGACCCGCAGGCAGCTTACAGTTACCCCTAACTCCAGTTCCAGGGAACCTGATACTGGTTTCTGGCCTCCATGGACACCAGGCACACAGTGCTGTACAGACATACGTGCAGGCTAAAACCAGTACACGTAAAATAAAAAGATTTAAGGTTACATTATCACGCTTAAAGTTTTGTAATCCAAATGGCTTATTGTCTGGACTGAAAGCTGTGTGTATCTCTAAGTGGTCATAGGCATAAGCTCGTCCATGTAAACCAGTTGGAAGCATGTTCTGTAGTAACTAGGGCCCGGTATGGGGAAGGGGCAGAGAGCAGCAGCTTCAGGGACTGGACAGGCTTGTCAACATCCCTCTTGACATCTGAAATGTTTGATGTTGAAGTTTGGGATTTAAAATGGATTAAAACGCAGGAAATTGTGGATTTAATTATATGACTAAAATTCTGTAACCTATGTAAGAAACTGTAGGGTAGAGATTGTGGGACTTTATTGGAAATATTCCTAGCTAGAGTTATTTGAATGTTGATTACTTAAACTTTAAGCAGTAAAGTTTGCTCTACAAAGTTGTTTACCTTTTAGTGTTATTTTTTTTTTTTGTTTTGTTTTGTTGTTTTAGTCATCCAGCCACCTAAGACTTGATTCCCTCTTTAGGATGTATTTGGTCATGTCTTCCGTGACACTTTGGTTTAAGTGCCTCAGTTTTCTCTCCATAACTCCCTAGTCTGGAAAAGTATACCAAGTAAAGCTAACAAAATAGAATACCATGGAGATAAATCCAAGGCCGTTTATTTAGGTTAAACATAAAGAAAGAAAAAATAAGATTTACAAACATAGGTGGTGAGTTCCAGGATGTTTTATTGATTTCAGATGGAACTCTTGAGTGGGACTATTCCTGGAAAGGTTAATGTGAGCTGAACGGCTGCAAGCTCCAAAGGTGACTCAGTCATACCCAGAGGGCTGCGGGAAGCTATAACCCCCCAGCAGGTCAGGAAAGGAAGGCAGCAGGTTTGTGGGGTGATGAAAGTGGATTACTTGGCTGAAGAAACCCGGGCGCATAGGTCTCTCAGTGACTTTGGGAAGGAAAGGAACTTAGATCCCTAGAAGAGATGATTTATTAAAATACCACTGAAATGCATATATCAAGACCCACCTCTCTTGTCTTCTTTGTGTTTGAAATACTGGTTTTTAATTTTATTTTTAAAATATATTTTTCACCATTATATATATATGAAGGAAGCTTGACAAGAAAACCAGTTACAGAGTGAATGAAAAGAAAGGTTCAGATGGGAATCAGTGTGAGAATGTTTTCAGAATTGCTTTTATGTGTATCATAGAAATACTTTTCACAATTTTTCTCTCTTCAAGGTTTTTGAGTCCAGTGAGGAATCTGGGTTCCTCACTGTCACCATCGTCATATCTGGTCACTTCTTCATTTCTCAAGGACAGACACTGCTGGTAAGTCACACTGCTTCATAGCCCAATCTGTACTCTTTTTTTTTTTTTCTTCATGTTTGTAGCTTTGTCATATTTTTGTGCCTTCAAGCTTCATCTTTCTAAACTTTATTAAGTTAAGCTAATTAAGGATTTTCCTGCATGTTTTAACAGGGAAATTCAGAAACATGCTGATTATTTCCTGCCTTGAAGAAGTTTTTGGATCTAGTGATCAAAGTAGATTAAAAGATTTCGGTTAGCCAGAATGATAAAGGATTTTTAATTGGAAAGTTTGATTGAAGGCAGGCTAGCTTGTAGAGAAGACTAGTGACTTTTTCAGGTGGGTGGGAGGGATACAGCCAAAGACACAGCTGAAAGAAAACAAAGCATGCTACATTTCATTGATAGGGCCTCCGTAACGACGCACTTGTCGTTTTTTTATTCTGACTATGTATATATTTTAGGAAATTATAGAATAAAGAAATATAATGGCTGGGCACAGTATAATTCCTATACTATAATTCCTATATTCAGGAAGCAGAGGTAGAATTATTGTAAGTTTGAGGTCAGCCTGAAGTTAGTCTACATTAGTAAGTTAGAGACCATTGAGAGCAAAGAGAGGGGGAAAGGGAGGAGAATCATCCAATCAGATCGCTTTGCTGGGAAGTCCAGCTTCTTTTTAGTATAAATAGTATGAATAAAGAGAAGATAACTTGTAATCTGATTAAAGAAATTGTCCTAGGGCTGGCGAGATGGCTCAGAGGTTAAGAGTACTGACCTCTTCGAGAGGTCCCAAATTCAATTCCGAGCAACCACATGGTGGCTCACAACCACCTATAATGAGATCTGATGCCCTCTTCTGGCCTGCAGGCATGCTTGCAGGTACAACACTGTATATATAAATATAAATAGATAGACAGACGGACAGACAGACAGATAGACAGATAGATAGAAGTCCTAGAAAGAGAAGGTTTATGAAATCAGTACATCATTTCCTGAGCATAGTGTCTATATTGAGGTCATAAAGTCATATAGCAAATGTTCACTAAATGCCTATATGGTCATAATTTATTCATTTAACAGATACTTATTGAGCAGTTAGCTTACTTTTCTGCTGTTGCTGCGGGGAGCTGGGGATATCAGAGTGCACAGGGCAGGCAAACGCCCTGTCATTGTGGAGTTCCGCTCTAGTGAGGAGATGATGATAAGCAAGCAGGCCAGGTGTATTTAAAGACCTTCACTTGTACGTATTCCCCTCCAAGTTCTGTTATGCTATGATGGCAGGATCTCGCATGTGTGTGAGAATGGTTCATTTTTCCACTTAAGTGAAATAAAGTTGAAAAAGAAAAGCACCCAAGGCCAGGTGCAGTGGCCCACACCTGTAATCCCAGCACTCAGGGAGGCAGAGGCTGGAGGATCTCTGTGAGTTTGAGACCAGCCTGGTCTGCAAATTGAGTCAAGGACAGCCAAACTACACAGAGAAACCCTGTCCTGGGAAAAAAAAGGTAAAATGAACGTGAAAGAGAGTGTCCTCAAGAATGTGAGCCCTGCAGAGCCAGCTTTGCATCCTTTGTGCCAGTCAAAGTCACAGCATGAGTTGCCTTGCTTTACCTGCTACGCTAGGGGTAGCTCAAATTAGACTTTGTAGCTGCTCTAAAGGCTGCTCTAGATGGTAGCCTTGCTTCTGAGAAATGTGGCTCGTTCTCCCCATCAGAGCCACCGATCTTGCTGAGTGGTGGTGTCATTGCAGCGTGATTTCCTCAGATGCAGGCCACCACCACGTGCTTGCTTTCTATTCATCTGTCATTTACAATGTTAAAAACTAGTCAAGGTTGCTTTGTATCCTGTGTGGAGTGTTTTTTTTTTTTTTTCCCCACTGAAGTTACAAAACCAAGCTCACCAAATTCAGAACAACCCCTGCAAAGAAATGTAAGAGGAGCTCTAGCTCTGCAATTATTTGATGCAGGTTCTAGTAATGCATACATAATTTCAATCGTATTTTTAATTCCTCGGTGTTCTTTTTCAGAGTTGTTTTGACTATTTTGTTACTTGCATTTCTGTGTGACTTTTGGAATGAGCTTTCCTACCAGAAAGCTTGCTGGGTTTTGTTTGGAGCTGCTTTGAATCTGTAAATCAATTTGGGAAGAATTTACTTGCTACTATTGAGTCGTCCAACCCATGGGCACATTTTAACTCTCCATTTATTTATATCTGCTTGAATTTCTCGCAGCAGTGTCTTGCAATGGCTAGAGATTCCGTGTGTATGTGTGTGGGTGTGTAGAAAGTTACTTTTCCATTTTATGGAAATATAAAAGACTTCCGTTGCCCTCTGGCAAGCTTTTGTATCCCCCCCCCCCCCCCCGTGTTTGACGGCAGCAAGCAGCCACAGCTTGTGGGTAGGAGCAGCAGGTAGCGCCCTCTAGTGTTAGAGTTCTTGTGTAGGTCTCTGGTACAAGTGTTAGAGCAAGTGTAGGCCCAGAAATCCAGGACTCCTCAGCTTTGGTCAGTGGCTTCTGAATCTAGGTATTTGGATTCTGCTGTTACTCCCTCTACCACTGGTGGCTAGTGGCCCTGAGGCATCCCATGGAGTGTGGCCGTCCATGTGGCTGGCCTTTCCACTTCTTGTGCAACATGGCTGCCAGCCACTCTGTTGTCTCAACTACCTCTGCTTCAGTAACGGCTGCTACTTCTTTTGGTGTTACTAGTTCAACCTGTTTCAGAAAAAGTAGGCAAGAAACACCACTTAAGAAAATACTCTTAGCTAGGTGGTGGTGCACACCTTTAAGCCCAGCTCTTGGGAGGCAGAGGCAGGGGGATCTCTGTGAGTTCAAGGCCACTGGTCTACACAGTGAGTTCCAGGACAGCCCAGGCTACATAGAGAACCCTGTCTCAAAAAAACAGAGAGAGATTTTGAGCTTAAAATTGTAATAATGGGTGGGGAGCAGCAAAGGCAGCTTGTTTTGAAGCAGTTACAGCATCCCCTGCCCTAGGTCACTGGGAGAGGTGCTCCACCTCTGGATTAGGTGGAGATTGTCACATGGACAGTCCTGAGCAAGGTTCTGGAAACAGCTGTGCTGTGCTGCACCCTCACAGCTCGAGCAGGGAGCTGTGATTGTCATGTAGCTTCCTCAAGGCATTTATAAAACGTTCAAAGTAACTGGCTCTGGGGTAAGAGTGGTTTAACCTGCCTGCTCCACTGACAGTCCTTTTCTTCAAGGGAGCTAGAGCAGCAGAAGAGAACCCAATAGCTGTCAGTTAGAAAGCAAATCCTCTAGTTTGTGAAGCCTTTGCTTATTTACGGGAAAATATGCATCAGGAGTGTTTACAGTAATGTAGTGTTAGCGTTAATATTGATTTTATAATGTTTAACAGGGTTTCTAACAGTGTTTAGCAGCTGCTCGGTGACCCAGGGAGAGAGAGGTCCTGTTCATCTAGCTCAACAGTCCAGACCTGTTCTCAGTGCCTAGGAAGATGGCTTCGTTGGCAAAAGCACTTGCTGTGCTGTGGAAGCAAGAGGACCTGAGTCAATTCCCTGGCACCCATGTAAATGCAGGCATGGCCTGTGTGTAACCCCAGCATGGGCTGGTGGAGGTGGGCAGAGGCTGGAAGCTTACTGCCTAGCCAGCTGACCTCGCTTAAATAAAGGGCAAGATTCAGGGTTGGTGAGAGACCATGTTAAAAAAAGAGTGATAGACGTACGTGCCCACATGTGCAAGTGTCCACTTTCACCGGTGTCTGACTGGTCACACTCTATGCCTTACGTGTCTAGGACCTGAAGTTGGGTCGGCCCAGGAAGGAGCTGAAGTTTTGTACTGTTAGATCAGCATCTCCCATTGTGTCCGTGGCCTTTTCTCACCTGTTGTAGCCTCTTACTCTCTGCTTCTGGGAATTCATTTTTTTCTTGTTAATTTTATTGTTAATTTTTTTTCTTGTTTTTTTTTTCTTGTTAATTTCTTACTCTTAGCCCAAGCTGGACTTGAGTCTGCTTTCCTTAGTCTCTCAAGGGCTGGGATGACAGACATGAGCCACTATGCTGACTTAAATTCAGAATGTGAAAATTCGGCAAATGTAGAGCTAGAGAGATGCTCTTCCAGAGGACCTGAGTTTGATTCTCAGCACCCACATCGTGGCTCACAATCAAATGTAACTCCAGTTCCAGGGTATATTGCACTGTCTTCTTCCTCCACAGGTACTAGGTGTGCACGTGGTACACAGACAGACATGCAGGAAAACCACAACAAACACATACAGTTGTTTTAAAGATTCTACACATAAGTGAGATATGTAATATTTGTCCTTTTTATTAAGTATATTCTTTGACATTTAATCTCTCTATATAATGCCACCACTATTATGTGCCCAAAGCAGTGAGAGCAACTAATCAGAGACTAGAACAAGCAAAAGAAGGAGTCAAAGAAAAATGTTTCTCCTTCAGCTGTTTGCCTCAGGCATGTGCCAGTGATGGAAATCTGACTGACACGAGGTCCTTTGCCCATTTGTAAAATGGATTATTTAGCTTTTGCTATTATGTTGTGCTTCTTAGATCTCTTGGGTATTCGCCTCTTGTTAGATTTATGAATTACAAACGTTTATTTTCATTGTGCGAGTTGCTTTTTCATTTGGTTAATTACTTCTTTTGCTCTGGTTGCTGAGTTTTTAATCCTGAATACAAGTTGAGTTTTGTTGAATGCTTATTGGCATCTGTTAAGATGGTCTTTTTAAAAATTCTGTTACTATAATAACACTTAAAGATACTCAGTTCATGCTGGGCTTGGTAGTATACACCTTTAGTTCCAGCACTTGGGAAACAGACACAGATCTCTAAGTTTGAGGCCAGCCTGGTTTATGTAGTGAGTTCTAAGACAGCCATAGCTGCAGAGAGACTCTGTCTCGATAAATGAAAACAGAAGTATTCTGATATTTATAGAATTACTATTATATTGAGTTTCTTATATTTTGGGCGTCAGCCTCTTGTCAGACTTATGATTTGCAAACATCTACTTTCACTGTGTATGTTGCCTTTT